GAAATGGTAATGTTTCAAAAATGTGGATAAATGCAAAGGACTATTTTTTTGCTCATAAGAATAATGCAAGATTCAGCAGAAAAACTATTTTATCTGAAAAGTTTGGGCAGCGTGCGCATTTATTGCAATGACAACTATTTATTGCTATCGAGTAGGAGGTTAGACACCAGCAGTTTCAGCATATGGCACATATACCAGACTGATAGCCTGGGCATTGAAAACGGGATTTAAATTAATATAAAAATTAATATGTACTTTATTCATCATCACTTATTTGAATATTTCAGACTTGCATACATGTTTTAGGATTTTGACACTGAATGACTGAAGATACATAAAGTGTATACCTGCAACATACAAACTGCAATATGACTTGGTAAACCCAGTACATAATGACATTTAAAATAAACATACAACAGAAGATAATTAGTAAAACTGCCACTTCTATCCTGAGATAGTTGCTAACATGATTTTTATAGTGTTTGAGATCCCTAGTGTGTCTGTTTATACATTTTTCAAACATGATTCGCACAAGGATTCAAACCAATAAATTCAATTAGAAAAAGTGTACACCCTGGGTGAACGTTGCGTGAATCTGGTATAAGAACATTTATAAATAGACCCCTAAGTATTGTCTTTCATATGCTGTCAAAAGTTAGCAGTGGTGAGCTGGAAATATTTAATTCAGTAACATGAGCATTGATAAAAAATATTTTGTAGAATGTCACTGTGTTGATTAATAACTGCCAGAAGTTATATTTGCAACTGCACAACTGTAAATATAAATGCAGTATTTTCTATATGGAGAGAGAGAGAGAGAGAGAGAGAGGGAGAGAGGGAGAGAGGGAGAGAGAGAGAAACACACACTACTAATTCTCCATCTTTATAAATAAAGTAAAATGTGTCTCTAAAAGCAGAAAGTTCTGCCTAGACTGATACATGTATCCACTGTAAAATAATCAGATGTTCTATTGTACCAATAGAAAACATACAGTCAGTGTCTGAGTAACGTGTGGCACAATTTGCACAGTGATCAAAATGATCACTTGAGGGAACCTAAGCTAACTGAATATTGAGAACAGAGTTCTCAGAGCAAAAGTTTCAGCACCATCTTAAGATGGACAGCGATTCACACTTTAGTTGACTGCAAACAAAACTGTCCTGACCCCATTTGTCAAATTATGTGCTCACTTTTGCACCATTACCTATAAAAAAAAACTGTGACATTTCATACAATGACTACATACAACCTGCTTACAGAAAATAAATAATACTAATTGCTGTAAGGATAAGGACATACTTTCAAACAGGTTCTGACTTTAAAATATTTGTGTTAGTAGAAATTGCAAATCTAAAAACAAGAAAGAATGTTAAAAAAATTGTAAATGTCAGGCTGACATTTTGCAAATCAATCATGGGGTTAGAAGTTGCAGTCTATTGCTGCTAGTGTTAAAGTGGCAGGATGCTCAGTGTGATAAAGCAGAGCTAAATTCATCAGTGGTAACTCCAACACTTCCCCATGCAGCGCTTCCTGGGTCTCACACTGTATCTATTCTACACAGAAGTATGCACAGCCACAACACACTGATCTAACCCTAATTAGGTTATATATTATACAAAATGCACAAACTGGACCTTATTCTTTCACAAAGGTGCTAAAATAAAAGTAGCATCCAGAGAAGGAAAGCAATATTGGTTCTCAGAGTCTTTTCACTATACTTTTAGAATGATTTAAAAGAAAATCTGTGACAGGCGACTTGAGCTTTTACTTTAACAGTTTGAAAGGAATTTTTTTTTTTTACCAAGCAAAGAATTTCACTTTAGAGTTTAACAAGTCCTTAATAAAATTTAAAAAAAAAACAGAAAAGAAAAAAGAGAGAGAGAGAGAGATAAGCAGATAAAAGATAGGAATAGATAGATGCGAGAGAGAGAGAGAGAGAGAGAGAGAGAAAAAGAGAGAGAGAGAGAAAGAAAGAAACAGATAAATGATAGGGATAGATAGATAGATGCAAGAGAGAAAGAGAGAGAGAGAGAGAGAGAGAGAGAAAGAAACAGATAAATGATAGGGATAGATAGATGCGTGATAGATAGATAGATAGATAGATAGATAGATAGATAGATAGATAGAAAGATAGATAGTTATACACTAACAATCTATTAAAATTCAGCAATCAGCTATACAATTATCACAATTATTTAATAGCCATATGCTAATGTTAGACTATCAAGGAAAAAAAATCAATACAAAGTCTTACTTACTCTTTTTTAATCTATACCATTGAATGTTTCAGAAGGCTATTCAGAAGGAAGAAAGTAAAAGTGTTCTTGGACGTCACTAAGACATATTCTAGTTTTCTTATATTTCAGGTCTTGGCATTTCCTCGCTGGTCCTCGAGATTTAGGATGTGCAAGAGGTCAGAGCAGAGAAGATGGAATGAGCATTCTCTGTTCTCTGTGAACTTGTACTGTAGGCAGGTGCCAATGATAAGCAGCTAGACAATAATAGGCAATAGCCCTCCCTCATCTGCTCATCCTTTCAATGACTCTTCAGCTCTACCACATATTAACAGCAACCATCCTATGACCCTCCAGATTATGGAATCTGATTGAAACAGAGATGCTGAACATTTTCAGTTAAGCTACTGTTATTCACAATAGAATAATTTACTGAATGCAAGCATTTAACATTATATATATATATATATATATATACACACATACACACATTTTTTATGTTTTACTTTTTATTTTTTTATCAATATAAAGAAACTATTTCAATTAACAATATGTGCACAGCGTTTAGTATAGTTATTGATTTAGTTTTTCTGGTATTGTAATATTTAAAACAGGCCAGTAGATGTCACTATCACAATGTTGCTGTGAAACAGAATTTAATAATAATGTTCACTCCAGACAGACAGAAGAATCACAAGTGACACCTTGTGGTGATAAGAAGTATTACACATTATTATACAAATAGGTTAAAACTTTACACCTGCACCTTTGGGTGTGTTTGTATCATCTGTAAAGTTTTTAGTAAAACCTCAATCTATTTCTTAATTTACAATAATGCATGCCTGTTTGATAAGGAAACCGTGGACTGAAACAAACTTTTTTTTTTTAGAGGATGTTAATGCAAACATTTGTTTTAACTTTAACAATATGATCTATTTGCTAGTAAGTAGTAAAGTAATGATGCAGGAAATTACAGGACTAGTTCAAGTTCCTTTTAATGTATGTATGTACAACCCTCAGACAAATAAGATAAATTATTTGAAACATATAGCAAAATGCTTAAAGACTACATGGTCATGCCAGATTCAGCTAGACACTGAGCGCAAAATTACAAACACAGGCAAGCTGTAAGAAAAGTCATAATTATTAAGATATTGGTTCTTTGCCTGTCTCCATTCAGGCCTTAAGGAACATGGTAAAAGGCTTAGGTTTAACAGGACTTAAAGGGGAATGGAAATGGTAGCTGGTATACTTACAGAAAATGTTTAAATGTTACAAAAATGGGATACTGCTCAGTAATTCAGCATTCATAACCATATGCAACAGCAGCTGAAGATGCAAGGTGACAGAATGGGGGCATGACACCTCTATGGGATTGGAATGGCTTATCACCACGCAACAGTAGTAAAACTGACCATTGCAGTGAAGTAAGGGCCATTACATTACTAGTACATCAATATGTGAAGACCCAAATGAATTGCAATATAGGAGAAGCTGAGCATTATGTGCAGTACACAACAGGGATAACAAGACAGAGATAGCCAAAAACTATGAGTACACTAATACAAGATTTTTTATTTATTGGGCCTCCTCTTTATAGATCTGTAAAAAATAAGTCTAGGCAACGTTTCACTGGTTATGCAACCAGCTTTCTCAATTCAGAATGACTTGTACAAT